AAAGTTATCTGCAAGAGCAGGGGAGAATGCATATGTGCCCAAAGTGCCTACTAATGAGAATTTTTTGCATAATTCCTTATAATATATTTTTGAATAGCGAGAACTGGACATTTTGTGATTGCTTGTTGAATTAAAGTTTCACAACTGATTTTGGTTCTTTTATAAATAGCCTGCATCATCTTTTGCCAGGTCTTATCACAATATATTTTGCTCATTCAAGTTCGTGCAAGATGCACAGTACAAAAAATTACATCGCATTCCTGCTCATCATTTTTAAAACCTGGAAAAGCTAACCTAACACTATTTTTCTTTACACTACTTTGGTCTTGAAGAATATATCTAGATTTCCAGCGACTTGCAAATCATCAAATAATTTTTAAAGACTTCATAATGGTAATGCTATCCTCTTTGCTAATGAAGAAGTGTGCGCTAACATCCTAGCATCCCAATCCATTACAAATATATAATATGAACAAATGATAATCATATCTGTTAGTTTGATGTGTTGAATCAACAAGGGTTAACCACCTATATTTTTTGAGGTTTTCAATTTGTCTTTGGTTTATAAAAACCAAACAATGCAAAGAATTATCAGAAATTCTATAACGCTCGACTTGATAGTTTTGTTGCAATAAAAAAGAAACTGATTCCTAAATATCTAATTCTCAGTTAGGGTTTCCAATCAGATTCGCATTAAGAGCTCCACGTACTTTATATTTTTATTAGTAACTTCTTTATATTTTAGTTCCTTAACACTCTCATTCAAATCTAACTTCTTTATTGCATATTCCTTTACTGCATTAAGGATGGCTGAAGGTTGATAATCTTTAAGAGCTTCCTGTTCAACTAAATTTCGTACAGCTTCTGATCATTTGATTTTTTTGCTTTCATTCAAGAAATGATCATGATCAGGTAAATCTTTGAAATATTCAACACACACTTTGTTTTTTGCAACAAACTGTAGCACCTTGATTTTGGCAGAACACAAATTAGAAGGTCTAATTTTTGTTTTTCATCATTTATCACTTGGGATTCCATCTTTTCGGGTGCTAGATTTATTATATTTTGTGAAATGGCAGGTATATGTATATAATGAATTGCTATTCACTTGTTTTTTGAGATTAAATCCTGTCCAAACATTTGATACAAGTGGCCACCATTTATTATCGAATTCTTGCATCGGCAATTCAAGTGGCTGATTAACATTGAAAAGAAGATTTTGTTTTTAGTCAGGAGTTAATGCACCAGTATTATGTAAGTCTATTTCCATATTCATGGTTGTAGGAAGAGGAGAAAATGAATTTCTCATAATGCCAGTTTGTGGATTCATTTGTTATTTATGCAATGTGAAATCTAATGAGTTTTTTTTTTATTTGTATTGTCATTTAATTAATGTTCATTAATTGGTGAATTTAAATAAACTATTTAATATTAATTGATTAAATGTTTATAACAAAAAAAGAGTGAGGAAAAAGAAAGCTATTCAGATAATCTAACAGCAACTTTAAGACAAGTTTGTGCTCTTAAAGCACAAAAAGACTCCTTCGTGAAAATAATTGTATAAATTTTCTGGAGGGCGATATAGTAAAAAAGATTAATTAAGTTTAAAAAAAAAAAAAAAACAAACTACTATGAAATAGATAAAAAAAAAAAAGGTTATGAAAAAAACAACTTTTGTGGAGTATATTCGAAAAAAAAGTACAGAAGTATTAAAAAAAAAAACTTTGTTTGTTTATACAGTTACATTGAAAATTTTAAAAGCATCTTATTGTAGTATTAAGTTCTGTAACAAAGGTTCAATTGTATTACAAATCAAATATGTATGGCATATATATGTTAACTTTATTTCGTGTTTTATTTTTCTGACTTTATTCGGATCACATATGTTCCAATTGGTCACGTGATTGGACACGGCTTTAGACATCTCCCAAAAAATGCAATAATTTGTATTACACAACTTTGAAAAATCTCTGACTGTACTATTAACAATATGGAGGTGAGTTAATAGAAATCAAGCAAATTTTTTATAATAAAAACTTTTTATAACTTTAAGCAAGAATAACTTAACAAAAACATAACCAAATTTAATAAAAATTTTTTTAAATAATTTTTATAAACTTGTAGAATTAGTTTAAAAAAAATTTTATCAAATTTGATCAAGTTTTTGTTAAATTATTCTTGTTTAAAGTTTTAAAAAAAACTTATTAAAAAATATTTGCTTAATTTCTATTGATTTAATTTATATAATATAGTAAATTATATTTATATTAGATAGAGTTAGCTAAATATATTATGATCAAAAAGTTTAAATAGATAACTTTGTAGTTGGGTTGAAAATATAGTAGATAGTGTAAAACTTTTAAATAGGCTATTTAAATTAGATATTAAAAGTATATATATAGTTTAATATACTTTTATTATATATATTTTGGGAACTCTTCCCATCGATCACTATGACCAAATTCTGGAGAAAGAAAATTAAAGAAAACTAGCTAAACGACTAAGCTAACAAGGAGTTTGCACCTAACTAAAGTTGTAATACAAAGAAGACACAACAAATTTTATTAGAACAATTTTTAATAATCTATAGCAAATAGCAAAGATTATCTTCGAAATAGCCTTTTAGACAAAAAATTTTTATTTCTGTAAAAAAAGTGAAAAACAGGCTTACCCCAGTCTGCAGATCTCTGTACGTTATACAAAGTAAACAAATGTGTCAACATAGTACCAAACAAATAGTAACTGAAATAGTATATGTGTAAATAGTATTTGAAACAGGATATTATTTAGAACCAAACAGGTGTAATGCAAGATGACAACACATGATAAACTAACCACAGTCGCAGAGTTAAACTGGTTTAGCAAATTAGAAGAGTACAAAGATTTTTTACAAAATTTTCTGAAGAGTGGAATATAGCAAGACAAGAACATGCATATCTAGTACTACAAAAAGATAGAGAAATAGCAGCATTAACCGGAGCTATACCCAAAACAATAAGTATATTTAGAAAAATAATAAAGCTATATAACTATAGCGAGTATCTAAAAAGTAAAGACAAAGAGGTAGAATTAACCAAAAGTGCAGAAAGTCAAGCCTTGATAAACAGATTAAAGAAAAGCTAATAGAGTATGAGTGTAGGGTAGTTGATTATAGTATAGAAGAAGTCAATAATAAAGAATTACTATATACACTAATGATCAAGAGAAGTAATGCAAGATCAGAGTTGAGTGTAGAAGACAAAAAGAAGCCCTCTAGCCAAGAATTAAAAAATGATATAACAGAAGAGCTAGTACAAAAGTTAGAAAAGATGTTAATTATTACATATATATTAATGAGTACTGAAATTGTAAAAAATACACAAAGGTTTAGTAAAAATAATAAACAGAAAAAAATACCAGTAAGAGCAGATACAAATGAAGCCAACGTGGCTAAGCTATTTACACTATAGGATATACTATTGTATGTGCAGTCACAAGCAATAAGGAATTACTTATACTTTTATAGCAAAATAAGTATTTTAAAATGGAAGCCACAAGGGAAGAACAAGGCAGTTTTTTTTATGATTAAATACCACAATGCAAGATGCAAGTTGGCCTTCCAAGCTGCATGGGTAGTACATTTTGTAGAAGGAAAAATGTTGAGAATAACACCTAGTGCTTTTGTCAAGAAATATTAGAAAGTAGAACAAGATTCAAAGGGGTAGTTAAAAATGTTCTAATATTAGCAATAGAAGTACTATTGTTAAGACAGCTAAAAGGAGTAGATGCAAAAGCAGTTTATATCTTATATAACAATAACTGAAATCAAAGATGCATAGCATCGATATACTTTGAATCAAGAGAAGAGCTGGAGTTAGCTCAAGAAAAAGATACCTTTTACTATAATACAAAGCTTGAATGGCTAGGTAAAAGTGATAAAAAGTAGAAGAGGCCTAGGGAGAGAAGTGACCAAGACCTGGTGAAAGAGAGACATCCTCTAGATGAAAGAGTAAACTCTAGAAAGCACACCCTTGGCTTAAACAAACTTGATAAGGGAGAAATAAATGAAGCAGTTAAAGATCGTAAACAGAAGCTCAAAATTGAAACTCAGTTTGAATTCAAAGAAAAAAAAAGAGCAAACAAGGAG